GCCCCTTGCTTGCTCTCTACAATATGTCTTATGAACATGGGGTTCTCCCGTCCAACTGGAAAAATGCCACTATTATCCCCATCCCTAAGCCGGGAGATCCTGGGAAATATCGACCCATTAGTCTTACCTCCTGTGTTTGCAAGATGATGGAGAGGATACTCCATCGTCGCCTTCTTCACACCATAGGCGGCTTCCACAACTCCCTCAATGGTTTCATTCAACATCGCAGCACAGCACACTCCATTGCTTCCTTTTATTGCAATCAGACTGCCCGCATCTCCGTCTTCCTTGATATCAAGGGAGCCTTTGATACGGCTCAGCCTGCCCTCATTTTAGCTGAACTTGCGCGGTTAGGGGTTAAAGGGAGACTTCTACAATGGATCGCCTCTTACCTCACTGGACGTCAGGCCCGGGTTCGCGTTGAAGGCTCTATGTCTCCTGTTCAAGAAATGAACCTCGGCACCCCTCAAGGTGGAGTCCTGAGTCCCACCTTGTTTAACACTCTCATGCACTCCATTGCATCTCTCCCGTGGCCGACAGAAGTTGTCCACTCAGGATATGCCGACGATGTCCTCCTCCAAGCCCCTGACTACCTCAGCATGCAGGAAGCCCTTGATCTGGTCTCCAGAGAGTGTGATTCACTTGGTTTCCTTCTTTCAACTGCGAAAACAAAAGCCATGTGGCACGGTCGTGTTGTACCTCCACCCCTTCTCTTATCAGGAACGCCCTTGGACTGGGTTAATGAGACAAAATACCTGGGTGTGTATGTAACTCGCACACGTTGTCAGATCCCTGAAGTCCGCTATCTTCGAGACATATGCTTTCGGCGTCTCGCTCCCCTCTCTACCATGTGCAGGGGTTCCCTTGGTGCCACCATCCCTGTACTTCTCACCATGTACAAGTCCTTTGTCCGTTCCTGTGTCGACTACGCCGCCCCTGCCCTCGTCAACATTAGTCGGACTGCTGTCAACCGTCTCGAAGTTATCCAGAGGAAAGCTGCTCGTATCATCCTTGGGGCTCCTCAGTGGACACGCTCTACTTCTCTATATACCGAACTTGGTCTTTCCCCCTTACAGGATCGTGTCCAGGAGTTTTACCTAAAAACTGCCGTTTCCATTCTACGGGATCCTCGGGGCAACTATGTCCAAGCCAACTTGACTCCTGCTGTCCGAGGCCGACCTCCATCTAGAAGACAGTGGCGAGGGTCACTCATCCGAGCCCTTCAGGAACACGACCTCCTGCCTGATATTGTTGTCACCCCTGCTGTTGGTTCGTCTCCTTCTCCCTGGCTGGATTTTCAACCTGAAGTGATTGCCCTCGGTGGACCGCTCACTCAGGCTGAACTAATAGCCCTCCTTGCTGCCCTTCTCGCTGAGGAAGAAGCAGATGGTTTCTGCCCCTTGCTTGTCTGCTGCGATTCCAGGTCTGCTCTCGACGGGATCGCATTTGGATCAGGGGAAAATAAGGACCTCATCCTCCGAATACGAGGGTTAACATCCACACTTCAGGATGCAGGCCGTCCTGTGACATTCCTATGGATACCCAGTCATGTCGGTATCTTGGGGAATGAGGCAGCAGATGGCCTTGCCAAGACTGGCTGCAACAAGGCCACACCTGACTACGTTGTTCCTCGAACACTTTTACAGATTAGGACCCAAATTCGCCGCAAACAGAGAGAAGCTCGGGAAGCAGCCATCCCCCTGGACTCCCCGCCCACCTGGTACGATGTCCTCCGTAAACTTCCTGACCTCTCGTACGTCTACGGGAAAGGGTCGCGGAAAGGGGACGTGATTGCTGCCCGTATCATCATTGGGTATGACTTTGCTTGGGAGATTGGTATCCCCGCATCCCCTGAGCAACGCTCTTGTGCATTATGCAGAAGACCCGACAGCAGCACCCTTATCCACTACCTCCTAAGATGTCCCCACACACAACGCTTCCGTGACGCCTGCTGGACCACCACTCCACGACCCCCTGACGGAGACACGATGATCCTCCCCATACTGGCCAGATATTTTGTAAATAATATTGATTATGTGTTAAAGGAATATCCTTCCTTCCTTCCTTAGGCTTTAGTAAGCCCCTTTATAATATTTATACTGTATATACTTGTCACATTTGCCAGATGCTTCTGGTGTCATTGTACAGGGGTACCTAGTGACAGCACTAGGATCCCGCTTCCTCTATCAAGGAATAAACAATTGAAAGTGAATTGAATTACAAGCTAATAGCTATGCTCATTAGTTTGTCAATACCCAATATAACTAGAAAATCAGCACGTGTGTTTACATTAAACCAAGGAACAACGAGTGAAGAGAACATTACCTGTGTGTCTTGTTTAACTTACAAGCTAAGATAATTACAAGTACAACCCAGGACAGCTGTGACGATTTCAAATATCAACCAATCTACGACTGCATCAAAGGTGACATGCCGTGAGATTACCCGTTAACACCTCATAACACCATCTGTGAGAGAGTTACTATACCACGTGAGGCCCCTCATAACACCATCTGTGAGGTAATTACTACACCACGTGAGGTCCCTCATAACACCACCTGTGAGGGAATTACTACACCACGTGAGGCCCCTCATAACACCATCAGCGAGGGAATTACTACACCACGCCAGGTCCCTCAAAACACCATCTGAGGGAACTACTACACCACGTGAGTTCCTCCTAACACCATCTGGGAGGGAGTTACTACACTACGAGTTTGCTGTTCAACACCTACATTAATCTGTATGTTCACTGTATGTTCCTTTACCTTTCTCTAATGAAGGCTTTTGTTAAACCACCAATGTATGTAATAAGTCACTTATGTCCTATGTATATTTTCAGCCTTCAGGCTGCAGAATTTTTTCAATAAACCGTTAATTATTATTATTATTATCTCACTCAGCTGCATCAAAGGTACCAGCGACGAACTTACACTCATTCAGGCAAGTGTTAACAAGTGAGATAGTTTGATATCCTATCACAGCTAAAACACGACATTAGTAAGCAAATAGACAAGTTAAAGCCTAATAAGTCGCCAGGTCCCAATGAGATATTTGCCAGAGTATTAAAGGAATGTAAGGAAGAGCTTAGTATGCCCTTAGCAAAGTTGTTTAGCATGTCCTTAAAAATGGGTGTAGTACCAGAATCCTGTAGGATAGCGAATGTAAAACCAATTTTCAAGAAGGGAGATAGATCACTATCCTCTAACTACCGTCCAATCAACTTAACACCAATTGTAGGGAAATTACTGGAAGCAATAATTTCAAACTCTATTCAAAATCACCCGGAGAAGCACAAGTTGATCAGTGATTCCCAGCATGGCTTCACAAGCGGGCATTCATGTCAATTAATCTATTAACATTCTTTTCATCTGTTTTTGAATCAGTGGACGAGGGGCACAATTATGATGTGGTATATCTCGACTTTAGCAAAGCCTTCGACAGAGTCCCCCACGAAAGGCTAACGAGAAAAGTGGAGGCTCATGGCATTGGAGGAGATATTCTAAAATGGATTAGGGCGTGGTTACAGGACAGGAAACAGCGAATGAGTATTAACAGCGCTAAATCCGATTGGAGTAGCGTCACTAGTGGAGTACCCCAAGGCTCAGTACTTGGACCATTATTATTTATTATATACATAAACGACATAGACATTGGCGTAGACAGCAACATAAGTAAATTTGCTGATGACACTAAAATAGGGCGTGTAATTAAATCTGACGAGGACTCCGCAAAACAACAGGAAGATCTAAAAAAAATTTTGAATGGTCTGAAAAATGGCAGATGAAATTCAATGTGGTCAAATGTAAAGTACTTAGTGTAGGAGATGTATACAGAGAAAACAGAAGAACAACGATGTTATAGAGAAATCCGACTGCCAGAAGTATTTAGGAGTAATGATAAGTAGGAATCTTAAGCCAAGTAAACAATGTGTATTTTCTTGAAACAAGGCTAATAAAGTACTTGGGTTCATACAAAGGAGTGTTAGTTACAAGACTAGCGAGGTCATCGTGAAACTATATCTTGCGGTTGTGAGACCTCACTCGGATTACGCAGTTCAATTCTGGTCACCGTATTACAGAATGGATATAGAATCCCTAAAAAGAATTCAGAGGAGGTTGACAAGACTAATCCTTGGCATTAGGAACCTCAAGTACAGAGACAGGATTAAAGCATCTTAATTTGCAATACCTGGAGAGATGTAGAGTGAGGGACGATATGATCAAGATTTATAAATGGAAGTCAGGGCTAAAGAAAGGGGACATAACAAAGGTACTCAAACTATCCAACCAGGAGCGAACTCGTAACAATGGTTTTAAATTAGACAAATTTAGAATAAGGCGCGAAATAGGTAAACATTGGTTTGGAAATAGAGTAGTGGATGAATGGAAGAAGTTAACAAACATCATTATTGACTTGAATATGATGGATAACTTCAAACATAGGTTGGATGGATATATGAACAATAGGGGTTGGGTGTAAATGGGACTGCTCAGTTTGGGTGAATAGTGCTTACTGCAGTTTCCTCCATTCTTATGTTATGTTTTGGATGTGATTTTTCATCAAATGTTGGTCAAAATTAATGAGGGGGGGGGGCGGGGTGTTCCACATAAGGCAGACTGGCTTTAGCCCCATATAATAACTAATCAACCCAAGCTCATCTTGCCTTTCACATTTATTCTTATATAGTAATGTCTATATGTCCACAATTCCCATACCCTAACTGCCTTTTGTACTACAGTATATTCAGTTCCAAAGTTAAGCTTATACAGCAGATGTTTTCACATTTTTGTAATGCCACCTCATATTTTTTCAGACTACTAAAGTTAAATTAATTGAAAATTGGGAATTATAACCTCCCTCTGCTACTGATCTCCCATTGCATAAACCATAATAAATAACATTAAATAACAATGTTATGAATATGAAACCTCAATTCTTGGTTCCAATACATTGTAGTTGAAAGCTCTTTTTAGAAAATAAATTAGATTGTTGTTTACCGTGTGGGGCTGCTGGGTGGGGTTTGATGTGTTGGGTTGCCGGAGAGTTGGACATCGGGGGTGTCATTCAGCAAGTCACTGAAAATATGTAAAACATTGAACATATCTCATATTATTTTCGCAATTTTCATTTAACACTGGAAGTAGTGGGTGTATTCAAGAGTGAGATTTTATGTACTAAAGCGCATTTTTTTCCCAGCCGAGAATAGATGCCCTCCTCAAAATTTACAGCCGATTGGTTGTTGCAAACCTGTACGATTTTGTCCTGAAGTAATGATTGTATTTCTAAATGAGTTTATTCATGATTGTTGGGATGAGTTTCTGACGAGAAAGATATTTAGCTAAATTATATAAATACATACCGGTACATTCATTATTTCAAACCTAAGCATGTAGGAAGTTTATCAGAAGTATTATACACATGAATTAACTGTTAAACTCTGGTAGCAAATTCATGCTTTTGTAGTGGATCCTCTCCCCTACAACTCCCAACTGAGCTCCGGCCGCGCGCCTACCAGCCAATCAGCGTACAGCCAGCTACACCGAGAGACTAGGTCTATGCAGTGGACGTAGGGGTACGATCGCCGACCTAGTCTCGATCTTCAACCTCCAGCTCAGGATCAGAGCGTTTCACACCTTACGCTTAAGCCGCTGTGATTGGCCCTCTCGCTACGCTCACCCCAAATCCTGATCCTCGTAAATTGTATAAATACGGCCATGCCTGGCCAGGGAGACCATTCTACACTCGGCTACCGGCCCAGCAACATCTCTCACAGCTCCTCATCACCCAGCTCCCTCAAAAACCTCCTCGCCCTACAGGACCTCTGAGCAGGCTTCTCCTCACCTAGTCACTCCTAAGCACTGCACTGTACAACAATATATATACAGAAAGCGCATTGTGAATTTCCTTCCTCCATCCCATCCTGAGTGTGAACACAAACACAGATTATACCCCACACTTTTGGAGGATGCATTCAATACATACTTATTTTTACACACAATAAGGCACACCAAGACAAATTACATATCAGTAATACTACATTATTAAAAAAAAAAAAAATTTTAGAGATCAGAATCACATTGAAATATTACACGACCGTCAACAGAGGCGGGAAATATGACTGCGAACAAATTCATATTTTTCCCGCTAGGGCAAAGATCTATGAATGGGGTCTGCCCAGATCGTCACTGCGTTCGTTCCCATCAATATATAGACGAAAATAACTGTTGCTTGGGATAGAAATAAAAAGAGAAAAAAAAAACTAAGATAATTTATTAAAGACAAAATAAATAATAAAAACGTTGTTAATACGCCTGCAATCATCTCACTGCTCGGTGGTTCATACGCTGGAGCCAAATCACCTTCATTTGTTCTGTATTTTGTTTATTTACCAATGTTGAATTGTTTTCTTTATTAAACAATTATTATTCGTGTATAGTAATAACACAATAATTGTCAATTTTTCAGTTTTTTTTTTATTTACCAATGTTTTAACCGTTTTCTTTATTAAATAATTAATATTTATGTATAATAATAGCAATACTTCTTGAGTCGTCTGTATACTGTCCATGTGTAACTTCTATCCGTGTAAAATAATAACTTACAACTTGTCACTAATACCAGTGACTGTTAGTGGTGACAAAACGGATTTGATATTGGTGACGAAACGGGGGTGTATCCTATCCCTATGAATACATCCAATATAGTGATTATTCTTAAGTCCCCATTTTTCTTTCATCTTCAGCTAATTTAAATGACTGTTTTGATAGGATCAACTTTACAGCATAAAATAGTTACATGCATCTGGAAGAACCCCTTTGAAATGTTCTTTGCCTAACTGATCACTTTATATTTAATTCCCTTCAACCTTTATAACCTCTTTAAGGTAATGTTTTAACGGTTATTTTTCATTATCCACCCATTATCTTTTTACAATTTTTTCCTTAACATTTAGTAGTTCTCACTGAGAAACGAAAGAATATAGTACTGTACTTGAATTTAGCGGCGCATTCCAAAGATGAATGAGATTTTCTTAATTTATTAGTTGTAAAAATCACGAATTTTTCTAAGTCCCGATTTGATGTTATGGCAACATGCAGCATCGCTTTCGTTTCGTTATCCACCCATCACCCCTTTTCACATGAAAAATATACTTTTACGCTAGGTTTCTTGCGGTTTTAGACGATTCCAACATTTATATTTGGGGCAAATAACTATTTATTGTTGGTAAGGTTAGGATGTGGCCGGTTCGGTTAGGTCAGGTAACCTAACTAACAAAAAAGTTATTTGCACCAAAGATAAATGTCAGAATCATCTAAAACAACAAGATACTCTGTATTATAAATTTACCCCTGCCTCCTTATTTTTAATGGTTCAACCGTTGTAAGACAAGCAGTATACTTTCCAGTCTCCAGGTATGAAATAACTCATTTTTGATGTTGTCTGCAGCAAACCATTAAGTTTAATGGTCCCATCAATACTGGATAATCACTTTCTGGTGTCAATGAAGTCAAATGATGGTCGTACAAGCGTAATTGTTGTGAATCACTTCTCGATTATTATTTGGTGTCATAGTAAATTGGTAAACTTATTAATCTGAGTTGGGTTAGGTTAGGTTTGATTAGATTAGGTTAGGTACATGCACTTGATCTATTAACTCAGATTAAATTAAGTTTACCAATTTTTTATTTCTGACACCAAATACTAGTCAAGAAGTGATTGGCAGTCCGATGTATTCATCTAGGACCATTATTTGACTTCATTCCGGCTATATTTGGCTACATTTGGGTAATTCCTTCCCGCCGTACATGCACGCTATCTATTAACCCAGATTAAAAGTAGGTTTTCCAATTTTTTTGACTTTTCGACACCAAATACTAGTCGAGAAGTGATTGCAGTCCGATGTATTCATCTAGGACCATTATTTGACTTCATTCCGGCTATATTTGGGCAATATTTAGTAATTAGTCGGACCCCCATTGCAGGCTACCCCATACTCCTCCATTTTTTACTTTTACTTTTATCCTCTTCGCCACTGATCGGCTTGTTAGCCGCTTGGGCGATCGGTCACATCTCTTTCCTTTATATTCTTCACCAAAAGGTCGGCTCGCTAGCCGCCCGGCGATCGGTCACGTCTCTGTCACGCACTGTTGGCAAGTACTGGGCATGCACCGGCTCCTGAATGTACCTGAACCCGCTCCGTGTTGGTCAAGTCTTCTTGAAAGAGCTCACACTCGGTGCCGTCACAACACTCTCTGGTAGATTGTTCCAAGAGTTTACAACCTCACCCGAAAAAGTTTGCCCTCACGGTTTTCTGGACTTACGGCTTCTTCAATCTTGAGCTGTGACCCCTCAGGGGCGAGCGTCCGCCAGCTCCAAGTAAGGACACTAACTGAGTAGTGCCCCTGAGATGCTTATACACCTCAACTAGGTCCCCCTTGCCCGTCTGTAGTATAAGCTAGCAAGTTCAGGCGCTCCACTCTTCGGGCTGTGAATGTTTACAAACACACACACACACATATATATATATATATATATATATATATATATATATATATATATATATATATATATATATATATATATATATAGGCTGAAATAGCCTAACGGCGAAGAGGCCAGTAATCTCAACAACATATATATATATATATATATATATATATATATATATATATATATATATATATATATATATATATATATATATATGTGTGTGTGTGTCGGTAAATTTTTACTTTAGGACACGAGTCCCTAGGGGTTGTTTACCAATGATAACATCTCACTAAACTGTATTAATATAATATCCTCCACAGCATCCTGACCTTAGGGTAACACTCGCTAAACTGTATTAAAATAATATAATTTAAGCAATACCAAAAGTATAAGCACGTACGTGTCATAGGAATGCAGGTCCATCATGTAAGCAGAACTGACCAACTGAGGCTGCCTGCGGAACAACCCCAACCAATGAGTCGTACGTCTGGCATTTCAATTTTACTTTCGACTTCACTTTTAACTGCTGCACCGGAAGTAGGAAGTGGTGGACCTCTGCTTCTGGTTGGCTATCTTCCTATCCAGCAGACGACTGTAGGTAGAAGAGAGCCTGTACAAGCTGTCTACATTCTCCGTAGCCCTGCCCAAATCAGGATCGTTGTCTCTAATGCACTTGATGGCAGCATATATGAAGGTCATGTATTCCTTAAGTTGCGTGATTTTCCACTCTTTCTTTACGTGTGGGGGCACATCTTCGGCTTCCTCCTCTTCCTCGTGCTCCTTAGTCATCTCAGCTAACTCTAAAGCTTCTTCAGTCGTTATTGGGTCGTCCATGCTATCGAGCAGTTCCTTCACATTAGCACAGAAAAGCACTGTTACTCTGTCCTCACTGGCCTTAAATCCTGGAGCTTTGGCATTTGCTTTTTTTAAGTATGCCTTCTTTGGCATCTTTTTCCAGTTTATTTCTGTCGCATCACAATTCCCGATTTGTACTGGAGTATAGCTACGTTCCTCAACCGCTTTTTTCGAATATATCTTCACTTTTTCCCTTGCAGATGTGTCGGCCGATGCAGCTTCCCCTGACACACACACACAGCGTAATTCAGCTCTCTTGATGAAGCTGTGAAGCCAGCCTTGGCTAGCTGTGAATTTACATTCACTTACTGGCTTTCCATCTCGCTGAAGCAGACGTGTCTGTATTTCCATTGCCTCATTCTTTATCATTGGACCCGATATAGCAACTTTACGGCGTTGCATGTTTTCAATCCATATCTTGAGTGTGTCTTCCATTTCTTGGTAAAGTGGTGGCCTTAAGTGTTGGGTGGTCTTGGAAACTGTTGGTTCAGCAAATGCTGCATGAATCTTGTCTGCCTTCTGTCTAATGCCACGAATGGTGCTTTCATTAACTCCGTAGCGGCGTGCGACAACAGAGGCACTTGCTCCCTGTTCAAACTCGTTCAGAATCTTCACCTTATCACCAATGTTGAAGGTTTTCCTCTTCTTTTTCTCACTTGAACTAGGAATGGTACAAGTACACTTTGGCATCTTGGTAAACAGTAGTAGAGCACGTGGTGACCTTGACTGGCGAGCCAGTGCGCAGCGCCATGTAGAGCTGAATCAGAAAGACTGACTGGTCACTAGACTGTAACGTCGAGGCCGGTGAGCACAGGGTTGCCAACTCGCTAGGCTGGTACCTAAAAGTAGCTAAATGTCGCTAAATCTTCCATGGAAAGTCGCTAGCTATTATTCCCCCCCTTCAGTAATTTGATGCAAATTATATTTTCATAATGCCGACTATAATGGACGGAGTATAAATAAAATGCATTATGTAAAAATAAAAATATTATTTTTTTTAAAGTTTAATGTGCACACTTACCTATTATTCAATAGTAATTGCATCCCAGTCCTCTTAGTCGTCGGCAGTGTGAACAACTGTAGAGCTGGAAGCATGTGAAGTGCTTGGTTCAGGTTCTCTTGTAACTGTATGCCTCCACAGTCCCTATCTTTCTTAAAATATCACTAGGAAGTTCATAACTTGCACAACAGGTGTTCTGTCTTTTTAACCCATACTTTATTGTAAGAATTGCCTTTAATGTCGATAGTTTCATTTTGTTGCGCAATTTTGATTTCACAAAGTTCATATTACTAAATGTGCGCTCTACATCTGCGTTTGAATGCGGAAGAGATAAGGCAGCGAGTGCAATTTCAGCCAGATCATGGTAAGGGTTTTCACCTGTCGCATCTCTGTAATTTGCCACTTCTGACCACAATTTTAGGGTGTTAGATGTTTCTGTCCAGATTGTGTGATGCAGTTTTTCCACTGGAAATCAATCTTGGTAAGGGTGCTGGAATCTTCTGTAAATAAGTGTGCCAAACCAAGTATATCTGATTTAATAGGCTTCAAGCATTCATCGGCACTCAGAAAAGAAATAGACTGCAGCACACGAATGTTGTCAGGTAAGCGTTGACCAAGTTGTTTTATGAGTTCAACCCGTTCAAATGTATTGTCCCTGTAACCCCGTTGCTATATATTATGGCTCGAAATTAGGAAAACCGAGTTTTCATGGACAGTCCAAAAGTATCCAGAAAGTCGCTAGATTTCTGTGGATATCTCGCTCTAAAATGTCGCTAGAAAAAAACAAAAATCTCTAGATCTAGCTACAAAGTCGCTAAGTTGGCAACTCTGAGTGAGCAGCCGTGGTGGCGCCTCTGGTGAGCAAATAACGCACTTGTTTGCCATGGCGGCAAATTTGAAATATTTTCTGCCCGATTTCCCTCGAGAAATAAAAAGATTTGCCCCTATATATTTGAAAATGTCGATAATTTTGGTAGTCGTGATATAATTTTTTTTAAATCGCTATATAACCCGACTCTCTATATATATATATATATATATATATATATATATATATATATATATATATATATATATATATATATATATATATATATATATATATATATATATATATATTTCGTGAAAATCACAATGAAAGAAAACGTGGATAAGATAAATCTTGATAAATCACACACGGGAGAAAGTGGAAACAACGAGGTACCTTGGCTTTCGTCTTTATTCAAGACATCTTCAAGGCAACTGGATTACGATACGATACGAAGTCATTAGTTAAAGAGGTGAAAGAATTGGCTAGGAATTGAAGAAAAATTAATTGAAACTGAAATACAGTAGGAGTAGAAAAGAATCTGCGGGCTCACAAGTCCTTCATCTTTTCTTATTGAGGTGTTTTTGTCTTTGTTCTCCCTTGGGTCATCAGACCTTTGTATTAATATTGGTTTATTTATATAATGCTGCTTATTATTATTATTTTTTGTTATTGTTGGGTTAGTATGAGCCCTTAGGTCCTTGTGTGTAACTGGGAGGAGTAGTCCTATTTTTTTTTTTTTTTTTTTTTTTTTTTGGTGTTAGTTAAGTGTTAGTTGTGTTAGTCTAAAGGTACACTGTATGGAGAGGCCTGCCAGGTTCTTAGTGGAGCTGGTTGGTCACTCTCATCTTTATTCCTCTAGTAATGTTTTATGTAGAAATGTGTATATTGAGGCAGGTGGTGGTTCAATTACTTCTTCCTGGCTGATATAACTGAGAGGGTAATCACATTATTATTATTATTAGTATTATTAATATATATATATATATATATATATATATATATATATATACTCATATATATATATATATATATTTTTTTTTTTTTTGGGTTAGTGAGCCCGCCCACCTCTATTTTCACCCCTTGGTAAGATATGCTTAATGTTTGCTGATGATATTACTCAAAACAGCCATACCCAGGAAAATCCAACTCAGTTGCTTGGCACTCTACACGGTAGGCGATAAAAAACATAAATGATTTTTGAAAAAATGGAAAATCAGGACAGAAATAAGAACCAGGTAAGATAATACCAATGGCAGATTAAAACAAGTCCAGTAATAGTCGACCAGGAACTATACCCATACGACACTGAAGGTGAGATGCTTGGTTAAAACCAACAAAAGAGGATATATAAACATACTTAAAGATAAAGAACGACGACAGGCAGAATAGATTATCAAAATAAACCTTTAGAACCTTAGCATTAATAACAAAAGAAAGATTTATATTGCCCTTGTCAAATCAATTATGGACTACCCACCCATCCCATTGAACACCCTTAGTAAAACGTGCATTAAAAGGTTACAAACAGTATAAAATATAGCCCTCAGATTTATATATAACATAAAATATACAGACCACATCAATAATGAACAGCTACACAAGAGAGCAAACCTCTTAGCAATCAATGTAGATATACACAACAAAGCTGTAAATATTTGGAAAAAGTGACTGAACTTAACACAGAAACATATCAAAACTGGATAAATAATATAGACAACGAAGGATTCCAAGAACACAGTTGGTTTAAATCAGCCAGGAAGAAAGTAATTGAACCATCTCCTGCCCCAATATACATATAAAACATTAATAGAGAGAATAAAAGATGAGAGTGACCTACCAGCTCCACAAGAACCTGGTAGGCCTCTCCATACAATGTACCTTTAGACTAACATAACTAATATTTAACATTTAACATTTAACATTTAACATTGAACTAACATCTTAGTAAGAAAAAAAAAAAAAAAAAACTGGATTGTTGACAGAGGCTTAAATATACAGGGTGACCTAAAACATGAGGTCAGGTCATAATGATGACATCCACTAATCCCCACACCAACACACACGTAGAGGAGCTTAAGAGAAGGGTGATGACGTGACTAGACAGGTCAGGTCAGAAAAAAGGGACCCACAAAATAACTATCATACATCAAGATCAAAGGTTTTCAAAGCATTTTTAACCTTGGGCCACTGACAAATAAATTTATGTAACATATTATCAAATAAACCTTAGTGATGGTCAGTTCCGACTGATAATATGTTACGCCAAATTTATTGTGTCAAATTGTTTATATCCAGACCTCTGAATATCTTGAATAAAGACGAAAGCTAAGGTACTCCGTTGTTTCCATTTTTCCCGTGTGATTTTATCAATATATATATATATATATATATATATATATATATATATATATATATATATATATATATATATATATTTATATTGATGAAATCACACAGGAAAAGGGGAAACAATGGAGCACTTTAGATTTCGTCTTTATTCAAGACGTCTTCAAAGACATCCGAATTACAAGGACTGAGAGAAGCTTATGTACACAGGAGAAATGGTCACAACTATAAACTTAAGGTGTACAGAAAGCCTACACAGGTAGACTGTTTGCTAGATTTTTTATCGAGTCACCATGAGTCTACCAAAATGTCAGTTTTTTCTGCTATGTTTTTGAGATGTTTACGTATTTGTGACCCTGAATTTGTTGAAGAACTGCAACACATTCAGTCCATTGCACAAAAACTTGGGTACCCTTCATTGTTTGTTGATCGTTGTTTTAAAAGGGCTAAAAAAATATTTTATTATACGCCATCCGGGCGGTTAAAGGATTTAATGAAACTTGTGACGTTGAACTCGAACATTATAATTTGGTCAAATCTGTTGAATACACTTCATTTTAGTATTTCAAATAAATCATACATAGGCAATCACATAAATGTCTAATCCAATATATATTTACATAACAGTCATAGCTATGTAATCAGTCTAATCTCAACACTTACAATGAGTACTTAATTTTCCATATTTTGTATGTCGTCACAATGATAAACGACGCAATGGACACAGTCTACCTGTGAACTCAATAAGTATCAGTTAAACTTACGTGTTGAAAATCTCAAGAGGAACCAGTGTAGTGGATTCCTCCCCTACAAGCACCGAACCTTCTCGAATTCCCCAGCCTACGCCTCCAGCGCCGCCCACGGAGCGGGGGTCAACTATCTACCCATGCCTACCCCCGCCTTATAAGGCCTGACACCGCTGTGACAACCCTCTTTCTACACAGTGCCACCAGCAAGCAACACCATCTCCTCCGCGCCAGCCTGGCAGCTGCCACTCCCGCCAGCGACCTTGGCGTCCCTCAAGCCGCGTGTCCCTCCTCTGGGCACCCTCACCACCCAGCTCTCTCTACTCAACGCTTATTACCATGCTACCTACCCAGCAACAAGCTGCATTGTACATCCAATACAACATGTATACAGTGAGCACATTGTGTGTTTCCTTTCTCCATCCCATCCTGAGTGTGAACAAACATCTCATACCCCTACACCAGGTTAGGTGCTGCCTCTGTGATCTGAATAACTACAGAGGAACCAGGTTAGGTGATGCCTCTGTGGTCTGAATAACTACAGAGGAACCAGGTTAGGTGTTGCCTCTGTGGTCTGAATAGCTACAGTGCCGAAACCCTGCATTCGCCTCCCCAACCCTCTCTCGATGGGCGGCTGAGTCACGTGATTATAATTATACATAAACAAAACTCCCCTTACACACTCCAACCTCCTCTTGGCCCCTCATCTCCACCATGTCAATACTCTACACACTGTATACAGGCAGGCACACTCAACAAACATGACATGACTTACAGCCTAACATAACGTTTGTTTATGTGTCATCCTACTCATTACTGCTTGGCAAGTTCCTACATTTATGAATATTTTGACTCTACCTTATTACAATTAATTTTTCCCGTTAG